CTTGGTTTCAATACCAAAACTTCTTTCTCCAAAGTTGCATCATCTTCTTCCAGGTTGTCTTTGACGAACACCCAACCTTGGAGGACCTCCTTTGTGTAAGTATTATTACTTCATTTTTTTGATCTCTCTCTCTCTCTCTCTCTCGTTTCTTTTTACCTGTGTTTATTTGGCGGTGATCATCTTAGCTCTTGCTTGGTTTCGCCTTCTGATCTCTTTATACGTCGATGATCAAGCGTCTTCTTTTTCTATGAATATGTGATACAGTTATTACGCTTTAGGCCTTGCTTTAATGTATATTCTCTAGCCTTCTAGGGGCTTGAGGTACCGGTTTATGACAATTATTTAGTATCATTATTGAGGTAATTAGTTTAGGGAACATGTCTTCTTCATTTTCTATGCCGTAGAAAGTATATCTTAAGAAGTATTAACATGTACAAAGGGATGCTAGTTATTGCTTAATCTTTGCAGCCGCAGGCCTTGTAGTAAATACATTGTCGATATGTTCTTATATCATGAACTTTTGCTCCAGTTCTTATTCAATCCTTTTGAAATGATTTGCCATCAAGTAAATTGGTCCATCTAATTACAAGCATTTGTTTCGGATTTTTTTTGTGTGAATGAACATGTGTTAATCCTGTTAAAAACAAAAAAAAAAATTACAACATGTTTTGATGGTGTTAAAACTGCTGACTAACTGATCTCGATCAGCGCTTTTAATGGATTTTGGAGTTTGTAGCTTTGAGCTAGCATAGAAGATATCAGATTCTGTTATAGTGGATAACAAGGAAGAGTTAATTCCAGATATAGAATATCTTGGTTTTCGAGCTGTAGCTGAATGAATTAAAAGCAATGATCTATTATCTTTAATTCATGGTTGTTGCTGGTTATTTAATCCTTTCCTTTTTACCTTTGATAATTGTGGACTTTGTTCAGTTGTTGTTTAACAAGATCTCTATCACAGTGTCAGGTGCTCTCAATCCAGTGGAAATGGTAGTCCGATAAAGAGAACTACTCTTCATGATCTCTATGAACGGGAGGGGCAGAGTCCATGGTATGACAACCTCTGCAGGCCTGTGACGGATCTGATTCCTCTGATCGATAGTGGAGTCAGAGGTGTAACAAGTAACCCAGCGGTAATAACTATTATCTTTAAAAAAAATGAATTCAAGACTTGTCCAACATTCATAAAATGATGACTTTCCTTGAATTAAGTTGAAGAAAGTTAAGTGGATGAAATTGAAAAGAAAGGTGGAATTGATAAGGGTGTATCTTCAACACTTCTTTAGTGGCTTTTCTTCATTATCCTTGGTCCTGTATAATGGGCTGTTTGAAACATATGATTGCAGATTTTCCAGAAGGCAATATCATCTTCAAATGCTTACAATGACCAATTCAGGTAAATCCAATCAATTACAATTAACTAGTTTTATCATTTTTTTTTATATTATTATTATTCAGAATTGATTACTCTATTCTTTTCTGTTACATGATGTATATGAAATTTCCTTGATATGCCAAGAGGGGGAAAACAAAACGAAGTTCACATATCCATTCTAAGTCTGCCGATTATTACGTACTCTTGGGGTTTGAAAGTTGGATGTTAATTTCTGAGTCAGAATTTTAAGATTGGCAAGCTGATCACTATAGTGTCAATATATTTCTACTCTGATTTTAGAATGTTGGTACCTTCAGAGAACTTGTGCAAGCGGGAAAAGACATTGAAACTGCTTACTGGGAACTTGTGGTGAAGGACATACAAGACGCATGCAAACTTTTTGAGCCGATATATGATCAAACAGATGGTGGTGATGGCTATGTTTCTGTTGAAGTGTCTCCCAGACTAGCTGATGATACTCAAGGGACTGTTGAGGCTGCAAAGTGGCTTCATAAAGTGGTTGATCGCCCCAACGTGTACATTAAAATTCCCGCTACTGCTCCTTGCATCCCCTCAATCAAGGAAGTTATTTCTCTTGGCATCAGTGTCAATGTGACTGTATGTTCTTTCTGTGCATTCTTTCTTGCTTAGGCATTATTGTTGGCTAATGATTTTGTCACTGTAAAAGATGTGCACATAAGTAGTCTTTTTCCATGATCATATGCTGATGAAGTGATCCTGATGACCTAATGGTTGAAGTCATGGTCAAACCAAGTATGGGAAAAGCAATCTTGAATGATCATGTAGTTTTAAGAAGTGACTCTTTTATAAATCAGATTCAGACTGTTCTCCTTTTTCGCCTGTGCAGCTGATATTCTCTCTCACTAGATATGAAGCGGTCATTGATGCCTACTTGGATGGCCTTGAGGCATCTGGACTCAGTGACCTCTCCAGAGTTACAAGTGTTGCTTCCTTCTTTGTCAGTAGGGTGGACACTCTCATTGACAAAATGCTAGAAAAGATCGGAACCCCAGAAGCCCTTGATCTACGAGGAAAGGTAACTAGCTCTGAACTCTTGTTCTTGTATACCATTAATTCTCATTATATTCTAAAGAATCCGTAACCCAGTTTGTCAACTTTCATTAATGTGACTGGATGTGTACTGTTTTAGGCTGCTGTGGCTCAAGCAGGCCTAGCATACAAGCTCTACCAAAAGAAATTCTCTGGTCCAAGATGGGAGGCTTTGGTGAAGAAAGGTGCTAAGAAGCAGAGGTTGCTGTGGGCATCAACCAGTGTCAAGAACCCTGCCTACCCAGACACTTTATATGTTGCTCCCCTCATTGGACCTGACACAGTAAGCCATCTTATATCTCAGAACCCTGTCTCCTGTATTTTATGTGCATTGCTGTGTAGATATTTCTGGAAGGAAATGATATCATGTTCAAGAGAGAGTATTCACGTTTTAAACTGTAATTTGTTGTTTAATGTTTCCCCTTGTGTGGTTTGGTTTTTCTTATGATAGGTCTCAACCATGCCTGACCAGGCTCTCCAAGCATTTGTTGATCATGGAAGTGTTGCAAGGACAATCGACTCAAATGTCTCTGAAGCCGAAGGAATCTACAACGCACTTGAGAAGTTGGGAATTGATTGGGGCTACGTGGGCAATCAGCTTGAAGTTGAAGGAGTGGATTCTTTCAAGAAGAGCTTTGATAGTCTGCTTGATACCCTGCAAGAGAAGGCAAATTCTCTGAAATTGGTTAGCCCGTAAGCCTTTTATTATTTGCTTATAGTATGAATTCAATGTAATAAAAGAGGGCATCGATCTTGCCGTGGAAAAGAAAACCCGTCTGTGAGTGCTGTGTAAGAAGTTAACTACGTATAGCAAGGAATGATAAAAATCCACTCTAAAATGTATTCTAGACGTAGATTTATTTCATGTTTTTGTCTTTGCTCCGTCAATCAAACATGTTTTTATCTATTTAGAATAACCTTTTCGGACAAAAAAATAAGAGTTCATCAACATTTGGTTAATTCTAACTATTTTCTTTGTATTAAGAGGTTGAATGCTTAAATTATTATATGCCTGATAGGAGAGAGTTTCAATTTTGTTACTGTTTTACTTTTAGAACTGTCTGTTGCCGCAGCGTCTAATATCAAATTGCAATGCATATAATTTTCAACCGGTTTAAAACCACAACTCCGCGGCCATTTCCCTTCTTTTATATTTGCGCCAAGCTTCCATTATTCATGGCATAATCTGGCCTGGAATGCCTACCTAAGGAGAGCTAAGACCTCTTGGGTTGCACAGAAGGCCACAGCCTCCTACCTACATTTGAAGATTAACGTTTTAGGAGGTGAAATGGGAGAAAGAGATAGAAAGAAGGACCGTTTTCTGCAATGCGGGGAGATCTTTAATTAAAAACTAGTCGTGTTATCATCCATAAACAGGATAATTTGTAACTGTAACAAATCTTTCTTTCTTTCTAGGAAATATAGAGAACCTGCCCACGCTAAAGGGAACTTAAAAAAAAAAAAAAAATGAAGCACAGAATTTTGTGATCTCTTTGCCTTGCCTGTTTTACTTTACATTATTTTTTTGAAGACTCTTTTTAAGAAGAAAAAATTGAAGAATTTTGCTCCATGCTTGAGAAATTACTGCATACATCTCATCCGCATTCACTATCACGCTCTTCTTCTTTGTCTCGTACATGGAATTGAGGACGAGAGGGAAATATTGAGCGTGTGAGAGAGAACAGCAAATTAGTGCAATCCACAGTTATAATTCTGAATTTTGACTTTGACATAGTTGTGAGCTGGATAAACCGTAAGTTAACAGGTTAACTAAAATTTTAATTTCAAAAAAAATTATAACATTTTTCTTATTAAAGTGGCCCGTTTTATTTGAATTCATATCCTAAGTTTAGCATCTAAGAAAATTATTAAATAAATAATATTTTCTTAAATCCATTCGAGAAAAATAGTTTTAATTAAAGTATAAATTAATCCTAACACTTTTGAAAAAAATAAAATAAAAGAGGAATTGTTGTAGCTTATTTTTTTAGAATATCTTATTTTAAAAATATTAAACTAATACTTTTTATAATCTTAATATGTTAATGTAATATATATATATATATATATATATATATATATATATATATATATAATTCTAATATATAGAGATAGTCCACCTTTGATGATGTAGGAAAAAAAAGACAGACTTGGTTTTGATAGCAGAAGATGGTATGGAAATATCATATAACTGCAAAATAAGAAAAAACAATTGGAGGTAAAATTTCTATATTTAAGAAATTGGAGTAGTAAATGAATATATATATTGTTTTAACTATCAATCACACGTAAAAGCCAAAATATGGATTTCGCCGTGGTGGGCCGAACAAAATGCAACAACATCAAAAAAAAAAAAAAAGATTTTCATAGATTAATTAGCGATAACTATTAGTTATTTTTTAGATGTACTTAAATAAAGAAAACATATAAAACATATTATCCAAACAAAAAAATAATAAAATTATAGGCACCTAGAATTTATATCTTTGTATATTTATTCAAAGTGAATAATATAAAATAATTAACAAGATAATAATAGCCGATCGACATAAAACTCGCACCACGGTGGTCTCCACTTCTTTTTTTATACTCGTAGAAAAACTGAGGCTGTTATCTTCCCGCGACTCATATCACTCTCTCTCTCTCTCTTCCTCTCATACTGGATACTTTTACATTAATGGCCTCCATTTCGACTCTTGGAATTCCATTCCAATCCCCCGGAAGAGCTTCAACATCCACAGTACGTCTTCTTCCCTCTATTTGTCTATCTTTTTAATTTCACTTCAATTTTAAAAGTGACGATAAAATTGTTGTTTCAGACATGGCGCAGACCGATTGCAGCTCTAACTTCTCATCATCCTGGTTAATTCTCCTATCTAAGTTAATTTCGATGGAAATCTTGAAAAACCCTCTCCTCACTTATCTTGTGATGCAATTTGACTTGTAGATGTTTGTATTAAAAAATGTGCCGGGGTCATCGAGAGAAGACAAGTTATAATGTTATCTGTTGGGTTCCTGGCCGGAGCAGCTCTGCAGCATTCCTCTTCAAATAAAGATGCTGCAGCCATGGCAGCCGAATTCACTGACAGTAATCTCATCTCACGATGTCCCTTCTTTTCTTGCATTTATGGGTTTTATTTATGTGTGTTTCTTCTATATTATGGACAAAATTGATCCTTGCTTCGTGCTGATGTTTGTCTAGAAACTTCCGGGGAGTTGTTTGTTAACTGCATCAATAAAGGCTAGTCTCCATGAGTTTGGTTTGTCGTCACTGTATTCTGGACAGTTGAGCGTTGTTACTATTAATAAACTGTTCAATGAACTATCCTTTTCTTCGCTATGTTTTTGACTACTGCCTTCCCACTTCCTCCTATAGGAGAGAATCAACTTTTCACATTCTAATCTTTAGAAAAATTCGCACATCCAAGTTTACACCATACATTTGTGAGGGAGCAAGAATCGCATATATAATGAATTGCTTGTTTCATTACTTGAACCCTTGTTGGTGAAGATAGCTAATAATAAGAGATTGCTATCCAATTTGTTCTCAAGACTTGAACCTGCAATGTTATGGTTGCAATCCGAGTTTTAAAACCATGTAGTGCTACTGTGGATGGCAGAGTAATGTGAAATTGTTCCGGTAAAAAAAAAAAAAAAACAGAGAGACATATAACAACTGTAATAGAATTACTCTTGACCATGTTTTTCTGGACATGCAGTGCCAGCTATCAGGGGGAAGGATTATGGCAAAACAAAAATGCGGTATCCGGACTACACAGAAACAGAATCAGGTCTTCAGTATAAGGTCATTTATTGGATAGTATATGTTTCTAATTTTATCTTTTATATTTATGCATGCACATGGTTAGTTTAGTTATGCGTTCAAATTCTAAAATGAAAAGGTGTGCAGGACTTGCGAGCAGGAAGTGGTCCCTTGCCTAAGATGGGAGAGACAGTTGTGGTAAGTTCCTTAGGCGGTGTGCAAGAATTTAAAGTTTGGCATAGTTTTCTTGGCTGGCTTAATTTGAATCCAAGTAATTGGGGCAATTGACTTTTGGATTTTAGATGATTTAGTTTCTTCATAATCCAAATGAAGCACAGGAAATTTATATATTATAATTTATGTAGCTGAAGTTTGGAGTACATGGAGAATATTCGAAAACAGCAAACAAAGAGGCTCCTATTCTCTGTTACGAAACCCTGAGAGATACTAGTAAATGCTCAAGTGATAGTCAAAATAACTAAACTACAATAAATTTAGTTGTTCACAATAATCATGCTTCAAACAACTATGATGATCACCAGTTTTAACTATAAGATGAATTACAAGTATCATATGCTGCGAGTTAACAACAAATTTGTTGTTTTCTTTCTGATCAGTGTAGTTCAAGTAGTTTATGAATCATGAATTCGTTTTAGGTCGATTGGGATGGTTACACCATAGGATACTATGGTCGCATATTTGAAGCTCGAAACAAGACAAAAGGTGGCTCCTTTGAGGTATGAGATGCTTTCTCCTCATTCTGGAGTTCAAGGACTTGATTAGCTTTATCAATGTTCTGTGACCTCTTGATCTGCAGGGAGATGACAAGGACTTCTTCAAATTCAGACTAGGGTCCAGAGAGGTAGTATATCCTTTCTCGTTTGTATAAAAAAAATTGATTTTGTAGATCAGACTTAATGGAATTGAGAATGAACATCTTTTCTTCATAACCTATCATTTTCAAATTTGACTTTCCTCCAAGTAGTTATCTCGGTTTGCTTGTACACCTGTCTCTGATCCACTTGTTTTCAGAGTATCGGTCAATAGTTTGTCCTTTACATTCATAGGACTGGAATATTTAATTGGGTTGGGTAGTGCAGCTGGATAGATGTTTCAAATGGAAAGTTAGGGACTGTCATCAAATATCAATTCTGATGCCTCGCTGATGAGATTGATTGGGTTCTTGAGCATTCAGGTTATACCTGCTTTTGAAGAAGCTGTTTCAGGAATGGCTCCGGGTGGCATTAGAAGGTGCTGCGTCTGCTTTTCTCAAGGATATAGCCTTTGTTATGTTTGAAGTTCTCTATTACATAAATTTGCCATGAATAAAATATATTAACATTTCAATCGTTGTAAGTGTGCTTGCAAATTTCACAGTATGCTTCACAGCGATGCAGGATCATTGTGCCCCCAGAACTAGGATATCCTGAGAATGACTACAACAAGAGTGGGCCAAGACCAACAACATTTTCGGTAATGCTCAAGTGAAATTGGTGTCGCTTGTTTGCAGTTTATATATGATTCTAAAATGAAAAATAATTGTGTTCGGCAGGGTCAACGAGCCTTGGATTTTGTGTTGAGGAACCAAGGGCTGATAGACAAAACTTTGCTGTTCGATATTGAACTCCTTAAAGTAATCCCAGGCTAACTCCGAGCTGATTCCCCTGTCAGGGTGGACGTATTCCACTATTGCCGTCAAACATTCGGGTTAGATTTTGTTCTTTTGGGTATTGAAATAGAGGTCAATATATATTACTGTATATCCACATCAAAATCTGAAAGGAAGTTTTGAATTTGACCACCTTGTTCCTCGAGAAGATTCTTTTTCTATCTGGCTTTTGTTTGTGCAACATCATTGCCAAGGTATTTTAGGCGAAAGATAGAATTGCATCTTGGTTTGCTAGCTGTGAACATGGATGAATCTTCGTTGTTTGATTTCTGCTGCTTCAATTGGAAATTCCAGGACATCAAATAATTGCATAATCACCCATGTATCACAGTCCTTTCATTCTGGTGATTTACACATGTCAAGACGACACGACTGAATTATTGAATGCTTTACTACTCGACTGTTGGAACATTTGATTGTCAAATGTTGACACGTTCTTAATGTTGTAATTGAGTCTTGAGAGCGTGATTTCCGCTCGCTTTGTGTTGGGAAAGACGATACGGTAGTGCCTTCTGCGGCAGTGCAAAACCCGCAGACTATCCACATCCAGAGTGATCGCTGACCTATTTCATTGCTTATGAAAAACTCAACCTGGATTACTAGCATAACACAGGTCTAAAACCCAAGTTCGGGCAGTTATAAACCAAACAAAACCTTGCAACAACCACCGGGAACAAATAAAACAAAGCACAGATAACGAAAAGTCATTCTACAGAAATTGCTCCCCTAATTTACTGAAAGCTCACGCCGCTTGTAACGCACCATTACCTTGTCTTTCACACCAACCACCATTGCATTCCAGTCTATCTCAGGGAAAGGAGATATGAGCTCAAATTCAAAATTCCTCAGCAAATGACTCCATATCGCTTTTATCTGCAAGTAAGCAAATGGTTCACCGAGGCACCCGTGCCTGCCACCTCCAAAAGAAATATATGAAAATGCCCCTGCTGCTTTGTCTTCTTCTCTCCCATAAGCAAATCTGTCGGGATCATAGCTATCTGGGTCCTTGAAGACATGAGGAAGCCGGTTTGCAAATGCGGGAGACGTTGCGACAATGTGGCCCTTTGGGATGTCATATTCTTTCCCATCTCGTGTTGTCACGCTAAAGTCACTGTGTGAGCTCCGTAGAAGCATAATTAGTGGAGGATGGAGTCTAAGGGCTTCCTTGATGCACCGATACAGGGCATCCATCTCAGATAAAATATCATGATCAACCTTGTTCCCATGCTTTTTCATCAGGTTCTTCTGCTCCTCCAGCACAGCAGATAGGTATTCATTGTGTCGCAGAAGATAGGCTCCAGTCCAAGTAGAGGTGATGGAACTGGTGTGCTGCCCAGCAAAGAGAGCAGCAATGAGCAAGCCTGTGATCTCAGACTCAGTTGTTGGGCGACCATCTTTATACTTTGAATCAATGAAGCACTGCAACATGTCATTCTCTGATTTGCTGGCAAGCTTACGAGAATTTATGATATTTTCAAAGATTTCTGCAAGCTTCTTGCGTGCCCGGTCACGGCGGCGATGAGCCGGGATGGGCAAGTATGGGAATAAAACACTAACTGGGAGCATTCCATTGTCAAGGTCATGGAATAGAGCAGACACATCATCAAAAAGCTTATCACGCACTTCTCGTCCAAGTAGACATCTACTGGCTGTCAAAATGATCAGATGCTCGAGCTCATACTTCAAGTCTACCACCCCACTGTCTCCCCATTTTGAGAAGTAACCCTGCCAGTTTCAAAATGATGATAAAATGATTACAACCACGAATTCCCACATCATGAGCGCGGCATGATTGTTCTAGAAATCATACAGGGGTAAAAATCTAATGTACCATCATGCAAATTGTACTGAACAAGACCAGTATTCAATGATGATTCTCTAGAATGATTGATGGCAGCATGGTCATCAGACTTGAATTTAAAACCCACAGCAACTTTTGTGTTTAAATAGCCAGCATCAAAGAAATGGGTTGTCAATGATACTCGAACACGCAAGAACTGATAGCGTAGAAAGTAAATAGTAAAAAACAGAAACAGCTGACAGATCAATATACTTGCTCACCTCTGCTTCTACCACCATCTGGTCCACATATCCCTTGAGTTTGTTCACTCTTAAAGCCTCTGTGAAGAACCGAAACTGCTCTTGCCTAACGGAGTACTCCACATCAAACACAACACCAGGACCAAAAGTAGGCACATTGAACTGATACACCTCCTGCTGGCTCAAATCCACTTCCGAAGCCTTGAAGAAATGCGCTGACACCTCAGGGCCAATCAAGAAAGTAATCTTCCTATTAACTAAATTCACAGTAAACACACTGCCAAGTTTTGGGTACTCTTCGCGAAGCATCACTATAGGACCTTTAAGGAACTGAATGAGCCCTCCAATCAAAGGCCATCCCTTCATAACAGGAGGCAAGCGCTTTTGAGATCTAGGCATTATAAGTGCAGAGATGAGCTTGGCCACTAGTAGAGTGGCTATAATGAGGAGACCCACATTCAAGAACTTGTTATCCGTATCTCCGGTCATTATAAAGCCAATAGATTTATAATTTGGTTTGATTAACTGAAAATTCAAACAAGAAACAGAAATATCAGATAAATGATACCCACGTCACATGAAACAGCTTAAACCCAACATGAGTTTCTAACAGTTAAAATGAAAGCAGATCTAAAGGTTCCATCTTTAGTTAACATTGAAATCAAATAACTATGAATAACAAAGCTTAACAAATTTCAAAAATCTGTGAGCCCCAAACTGGAAATATCCAATCAGAAACAACCCAGAATCCAGTTCATGAAAAAGCAAAATTCTCTTTCCTTGAAGGAAAAACAAGAAACTAGTAGCACGTGCATGCAGACGGTGAGAAAAAAACAAGAAAATGCGGTAACAAACTCAGACACTACACGTTTAACATCCATCAGAAAGTAATGAATTAATGATAGAGTTGAAATCAGAGTGAAGAAGTAGAAGTACCTGATTTCAGATTGAAAAGGGGAGGACTGGCAGAGAAAGAAATCAAAGGATCGTGGGGGTTTTAGAATCAGACAGAAGACATGATCACATAAATGAGAGGCAAAGTGAGGTTTCTTTTCACTTTCTCTTCAAAAGTAGAAATAGCAAAAGAGGAGGGAGGGTGGTGGCCTTCTGAAAGGCGGGGTGTGGGATGTGGGTTTAGGATTTTACGGGAGTGTTAATCATGATGGGTTACCTTAAATGAAGGAAACGAGGTTTCCTTCTCAAGGATACTGTGGTTAGTTGTTCACTAGCCTGGTTCGTAGCATCACTACTATTATTATTAAAAAAATAAAAATTATGAACTAATTTTAAAAATAAAATTATAAATTAGAAAAATTTTAATTAGAAAAAAAAGAAAAACAATAAAAAATCTAAAGAAGAGGGTCCAAATTAGAATCATAATTATGGTTGAAAAAATAAAAACTATAAAGAATAAAATTAAAAATTATAAAAACTTTAATAAAAGAGTAAAAGTAAAAAATTATAAATTAAAAGTAGAAGGACTGAGTTGAAAACTTATATATACAAATTAAAAAATAAGGGTTAAATTGAGAAATAAAAAAAAAATAAAAACGGTACAAAAATCAAAACTAAAAGACAAAATCTAAAATACAAATAATAATGAGGACTATAGTATATTTATTATGCTGAGAGAGAAAAACAAAGAAAAAAAACTAAGAAAGACTCACAAGTCATATGTCGACAATATTTGAATACTATGCGCCGCTTCAAATTAATGACAAGATGATGAGAAATAACATGCGATGATGAAAGCTTATTTTTAAGCATCTCCAAAGTTCCCTAGCATCTCTAAAGTGCTGGCGTGTTCACTGCTCGTACCCCTAAGTTTTTTAAATTAAAAATATTATTTTAATAGTCAATTATAAAGCTATTTTTTATCAAACTAATAATTAAAAAAATTGTTGTTGGAAACCATAATACCCATAACTTCAATGGATTGGTTTTTTTGGATTCAATGATACATGTTTAATTTTATTATGTATATAAAAAAATAATTATTTCACTCGAGATATTTTAATTTTTTTTATTCATAATACTCAGGTCATTATTTAAAAAGATAAAAATATAAAATTTTATGCGAAGAAAAAAAAAAGTCAACTTGAAAAATATAATAGGAGCTATAATAGAGCACTCATCTATTTTAAGTCTCGTTTGTTTACTGGAAAATAGTTTTATTTTGAAGAATAAATTCTAAAAAAATGAATTATCTTCTAATATTTGGTAGTATAATGAAAAATAGCTGGAAAACATTTTTGAGTGTTTAGTTATGTTATGGAAAATAAGCTGAAAAATAATTTATTAATATTTTTTTCAAGTTTATTAGAATAAATGAGGAACAAATCTTATAAATTAAAAAGTTGAATGAAAATAAAATTAATATATATACAAATATAATTTCATAAATTATCTCAAACAAAATAAATAATAACCAAAATAATAGAGATCAAAACTAACAAATAAAAAAATTAAAAGATGAAGAAATTAAAATAATAATAATTATCATTTCATAAATTATTTCAAATAAAATATTTAACAATCAAAAGAACGAGAATCAAATTTAATAAATAAAAAATTTAAAGTAAAAAATAATAAAGAAAATAAAAATAAAAATTATGAAAACGATAACCAAAGTTAATATAAAAATTAAATTCTAAGAAATTAAATTAAAAACATATTCAAAATAAAATATATATATATATAGCAATTAAAAGTTTGAGAACTAAATTTAATATAATTAGCAAATAATATAGTATTTCTAAATTTTTTATAATTTTTAAAAAGTGTTTTCTATTTAAATACAAGAAAATATTTTTCTAGAAATCAAGCTAAATTTTTATTTAACTAGAAAGTATTTTTTATTAATTAAATTTTTTAATAACAAATAAATATAAAAAAATTAAAATTAATTTAAAAAAAAAATACTTTACATCAAATGAGGATATTTTTTCCTGGACCCGGATCTAGAAGCGAAGCAAAATGGTGGGTGTCACTATGTTGTTTATTTGGAAAAAATCTCTATTGATATATGTCAGGTTAGTGACAGACAACACTAGCACTTGACTCTTCTATGCCACTTTACCACTCTTCTTCACTGGCACTGGGAATGGATTTGGGAGTTTTTTTTTTCAACTTGGTTTTTAAAATATTTTTTATTTAAAAAAATATATTTTTATGTTTTTTTTTATAGTATTGATATGATAATATTAAAAATAAATTTTAAAAAATATCATTTTAATATATTTTTCATTTAAAAATATTTTTGAAAAACATTTTATATTATACTACTAAACACTAATTTAACAGAGAGGAATCTCGAGGTCCAAAAAAAAAACGATATTCTTCAAAAAAAATAAATACATTTGAGGTGAAAGGTAGCTTAATAAGGATGTCTTAAAATGTTGAAAAAGAAATTTGGAATTAAATCAATGCTTAATTTAGTAAAATCAAATTTAATTTTCTTGACTAAATATAACAAAAACTTTTAGAACCAAAATTAACGCTGCAAAAAATTCCTAGCCTCTTATTCTTTTTATTTTTTTCAATTTTATTGGAGAAATGCTTTTAACATTTTTAATCCTTTATTTTTTGAGATTTTTGTATTTTGATCTAAACTTTTATTTTTCTTGTATTTTAATCTTTGAGCTAGAGAGAGAAGATAAAGAATAGATGAAAAACAACTTAATGAGAATGAAACTCATCATTTCACCATGATTAGATAATTAAAATGATTGTTTTAGATGTTAATAACTTTCATTTCACTAGAGGAGTTTTATTAGGGTATTTTAAGCCGTCCTCCATCTTGTCGAGAAAAGCATATCAAGATTGAGAGATAAAAAACAACTTAATTTTGCAATTTCAAAGCAATGTTAAAGTATTTTGGGTTGTGAGATTGATTCACGAGGTTTTAAAGGTGAATTTAAGGTTAAAATGAGTTTTTGAATTAAAAAACTCATTGCTTGGTTTTCCAAACACCTTATTGGTGGTCGGGATCTGGAGATGCAATTTATCCTAAGTTATCCTGGTATCATAATCCAGAGCGCGAGTTAAGTGGTTTGTCTCTAGATAACTCGGGTAAGTTTTTTTTAAAAAAAATAATTTTTTTTTCTCAATTTCATCATTTAATATTAGACTGGTTAGGGATTGAGTTTCAAATATTTTTTTGCTTGATATGAAGTTATGTCATTCTTATAACCTGAATCACGTGTTTGATGGTTTAACATGAGCTAACTCAAGTTGTTTTTTTTTAGAAATGATTTTTTTTATTTTATTTAAAAAAAAATACATTTAACATCCAAACGGTTTGGTTCAAAATATGATTGTTCACCATAGTTTAAAAAATTATATTTTATATCATATAGTTTATAAATATGCTAACACTTAACATCCTCCTTAAAAAAATATCAACAACAATTGTCAATTTATTTATTGAAATGCAGAAAGAACCCTTAAAGCTCAAAAATAAAATAAAAAAGTGCCACCAAGCTAAACGATATCTTATTAATTACAAAAATATCATTGGTTTTTTTAATTTAATATGTCACAATCTAAATATTTTTTTTAAAAATATCCAGTATTTAAAAATAATACAGTCTAATATACATTGGATTTTTTTTCATGATTAAATAGAAAACATGTTAGAATGTCTTTATATTTTTTATGTTTAAAAAATAATTAATATGACTTACAATGAAGTTTGATCTAGTTTGTACTAGAATAAAAATAAATAACAAAAATATATTTGATTGAAGAAACAAAAATGTAAAATCAAATTTATTTGTAAAACAATTATTGAATGATTTAATCCCATCAAAGCCAAGATACGAGAAGACATATCTCTTTTGATTTCATCTCTTTTTATCTCAAATCAGTAATTAAACACCACCTCCTTCTATCTCTCTCTCTCTTTTTTTTTTTCCCGTCTATGGAAAGTATGCACTCTCCACCATCTTCGAACTTCATGGCAGCGCACTAATAGCCAACGACGGATCCAGCGTGGAGCGTTGGCCCCGAAGGATAAAATATTCGACACGCAACTTAAAAATATATCCAATTTGGTCCATTTCTTTTTTAAAAATAAATATTGCCCTCTCTCAGTCTTCAAGGATCCATCATCACCGCTAAGAGCTAACAGCAACAGGCCAGTTAACATATCCTGTGTTTTCTCAAGGAGTGGAACACCAGTCACAGACTAATGAATTATTGGCCCAGCACCAAAATAAGAAAGAGAATGAAAGGATCGGTCATGTGAATAGAATACAATGGTGGTGTTTGTGTGCTAGACGCAGATCGCGCAGTTTAAAAAACAGAAAAAGGTAATAATGCATTAAATTATGGTGTCAAGGTTTCCACCAACAAAGCTCTTCTTTTCTGGGGGGTGGGGGGGCAGGAGAAGAGACTGGAGAGGACCACAAACAAATACGTAAATCTTGGACAAGAAAATGAAACTGCCACCTATGGACTCACTGGAAAAAGTTCTTAGTTGCTTCACCAACCAAAGCTTCGAGGCCAAGAGCCAATAAAATCAGAAGCGTACAGTTTCTAAATTACAATCATAATGTTCAGAGGTAAAAGATGCGAACAAAAAAGTACCATGGGGGAAAGACAGCAAGGAGAGGAATCTCACTCATTCGATATCTCCTCCGATTTCCCTTGGTGTGAAAGCCCTGAGGACCCTGAGTAGACATGACCACTATGACCTCTTCCCGAGTCTAGAGCAGACCGATCTGTGGATCCACTGCGATTATGCAGACGCCTTTGTTTAGTATTTGATTGCTCCCCAGCTTCAGACAATGAACTCTTATGTCTGCTACTATGTGTCGATGCAGCATGTCCCCTTGACAACTGTGAGTTTCGCAGCTTGGAACTTGGGGTTGTAGTTCCAGAATGGAGGGAAGAATTCATCAATGAAGATCCAGCAGACATCTGATATGAACGTTTTGATTTCTTTTCTGCTTCTTGTTTCTCAAGTTCTTTAGGGTCAGGATAATGCACAAGCGAAACTTGTCTTGAAATTTTACCAACTATCAGTGCAGAAAACCATGTCAGGTAATGCTTAAATAAGATTTTAACACAGCAGGATTGGATTCACATAATTAAATCAACAGTGCAAAAAGCTATCACAACAACAACAACAATGGATGTATATTTTTGGACTATTTTAATAATCAGGGATGAATAATCAATTGCACAGTGTTGATTGAGGAGTCTATGACAAACAAATGACATCCATGTTAAATTTAGACACCTAAAACACTAGATATCCAGTGATACACTTGCATGCAACTGATTTGATAAGCAATGGTTCCAAGCTCATAGAAGTACTAGTGTTTTTTTATAATTACTAAAAGGCATCAAATATATATAGCCCCTATTATGGGGGGTGGGTTGGGGGGACATAAACATAGCATGGCAATAAATTCTTTCATGATATGCAAAGAAGCAAACACCTTAATCCAATTAAATCTATTGAGGAGGACAAACATGATTCTTCCCCTTGATTGTGCAGCAATATTCTCACAACCATCAAAATATGCTAATGAAATGCAACCCCAAAGCTCTCCTCTTCCTCGCCCCTCCAAACTTACAGAACCTGACTCAACCCCCACAAAACCCAACAGCTTCAAAAACCAATTATCATAAAGTTCTTCCCCATAAACAAAAGAGTAAGAGATTCAGCCATTTTTTATAAAGTATCTATTTAACAACACCTTTTTAATAGTTAAAACATACTCCAAGAGCTCCCAAGTGAAAAAGGACACTACAGAGGGTATTTTGGAATTTTAACCTCTAAGTTCCTCTCCGCGAGAAGTTGCTACCTTGCTATTCACCTCAATGCTTGACCAGAACAATCCTTCCACAAACTCCATAGAAGAATCACATTAAAATGACCATTTTTATTTCATCCCAGTATCACTCTCCATATGCCTAGATAAAGAGTTAACCTCGAATCTGATAAAAATTTAATTCGTAGGTTAACTAAAGAGTTCATCAATCTACTAGTTCAATTGTTATCTAATTCATATTCCACCATGAAACAAGATACTGGACATGAGTAGAAATGACCTCCCCTTTTCTTTCTTGTCTATATTTTCCCTTGTTTAAAGTGCTGACTTCATTTGATGGAAATAGCTCTCAACAATTCAACACCATTATGGGAAAAATCCACATGGAGAATTTATTTGCGATATAGATATATCTACGACAACCTTCACCACTTCAACTTTTAGTTATCTAAAGACCCTGGTGTCAACATCCAGCTCTATACCTCTTCCTATAGCCATTTTCCCAGGTCTCTTGATTCCAGCAGCCACAGGTGTGCTGCCAATATCCATACTCTCACTCAATGGTCAACAACAGAAAGATTTCCACTAGCATATAAAAAACATGTGGTTATATGCAAGTCTATGAAATTGATTGGAACAATCAACAACATAAAATACTAAACAATTGAAAAGAACAGAAAACAGTATCATGTTGGGGATAAAGTAATTTCATAAAATACAATTCATTTATAATTCAGGAAGAAAAAGAAAGTAGAAAAGCCAAATTTACCAATCTTCGTTTCCAATTCAGAAGAAAGGAAAACCGTTGCATCTAGCCCTTTAGCAGAGCAGCTGACCAGATCAAATGCTTTCCCTGCCGTAAAAAGTAATAATAAACCTTGTTATCTCCAAATTATGCACACATCAAGATTAGCACACATACAGTAACTGTATGCTATTTTCAATGACAGAAACTGCATCAGTTGTTGATACCTGGAGATGCCTCGAAATTTCCCAAACATCCATCCTGATCAAGACTGAGCGAAAGTTCTTTCCCATTAAAATCAGGAAGCTGAAATACACATACAATTAATAATGTTAGCAATTAAATCTTACTCTCCATGAATCGCAAAACAATGATAGCATTGTTTACAATGACCTTCAAATAACTGGCACCTTATTAAATAATACTGATAAATTTGTTTTCCCATAACAACAATGAACGCAAAACTCAGTAATAAAATAATAATTTACTTAATGAAACTATGAGTCATTTATTTATAGAGATAATAAAAAGAGCATGTAAAGCTTGCTTACTTCATTAATAGGCCATTGAATGAGCCAGAGCTCAGTCGAATCTGACAAGCTAATATCAGCCAATGGTTCCCTCGAATCTTCTTCAAATCCTGGTTCAGGCTTGTAACCCTCCATCTCCTCAACATCATCCATTGCCCAATACCTCTGCGAAAAAAAATATATATAACATCACTCTTCATTCAAACATTTCATCAAACACCTTCCAAACAATTTTCATCCCTTTCCTTTTACTTCATAGGTGTTACAATTACCAATTTTGTTAATTAAAAAAAACGAAGGAGCTTGCTGCTTGTGCAGAGGGAAACTTTAGAGATTGAATAGAAGTTACGTGAAAGATAACGAGAAAAGAGAGGGAGAGAGGTACCTTTATGGATAGTAATAACAGTAACGGCGAACAAGGAACTTTTTTTTCTTCTTCAGTCGTGGTGCTTGTTGCTTGCAGTTGCAGGGGGGTTTAAGCGAAACCTAAAAACCTCACGGCTTCCCTCTCTGTTTTGTCTGGGAGCACAAGTATTTTGCAGGAGGAAGGTAGCGTGTTAAGAGGCCGAAGTCTAGTGGGAAAAATTAGAAACAAATGTCCAAAAGATACTAGGCTAGACCAAGGCTCTTACGGTCTCAAAATACTGGAAGAAACCCAGCCCAGTTGTAGACACGTCCCACTTTTTATTTCAGGTATAATTATTTTATCCATTAAGAAATATCCATTAATAATATTCTTCTTTTCTATCTTTTTATAATTAAATGATATTATTTCCAGTGAATAATTAAATACTTAAGTACTAATATAATTTAGAAGAGATATCTTTATTGTGTAGCTTAAATTTTATTGGATGGAAATATAAAAATACTTTGCAAATGAGTGATGGATTTCATCGGTTTAGTGGTTGAAACTTTTTATAATTTTTTTTTGAATGTATAAAATTATTATAGAGATGGTAATGGATATTTATAAATTGAATTTCTTGATACTTATATAGAAATTTAAATATTCATAAACTATTATATTTTAATTATTCAATATATATATATATTAAATGATAAAATGATAAATATTATTCATGTATGTATTTTATATTAATATCAAGGTATGTATATATCACATTATATTGGGGAAAAAATTGTAAATATTCTACAACTATATTTATATAATATAAATATATATTTTGATTCAAATTCATATAAGTTTCAAGTAGGTTTAATAATATACCTATTATTTATCAGATCTAAAATATACTTATTTATTGAGCTAGGATCTTTAAATTGTTATCCCTGTTCAATCGACGCCATGTACTACAGGCTCACCTGTGAGATTCATCAATCTCATGGGGGAGCTGTAAGGACATGGGAGGGACGACAACAACTCTCCCCAAAGTTTCACACCAGTCCTTGTATTTTCAACCTAATTCTACTCCAACCCCTACTCTTCTCTTTGATGTTAAACCATACCCATGCTATTCTGGTTTCTATCTGGGTATTCTGGCTTTCGATTAAAAAAGTATAAAAATACGCATCTCGTTCTTGATACTCGTCCATCTCGAACCTGAAAAATACGCATAATAAATCTAACTCCACCCTACAAGGCCACGTGACGATCACCATTTTCGTATAATCACACAATACATGCCCATAACTACAAATTAAAAAAAAATAAAAAATAATTCATTCTTCTTCGTATAATACCAGTTAGCGCATGCCTACAACCTTGTACCCATCGCCTACCCAATTCCTTCAAAAGGGCTTCCCCATCGCCTACCCAATTCCTTCAAAAGGGCTTCCACTCTCTCCACGAATTTCTAGACTTGATCGCTGAAACCCATAACCAGCTAAAGACCTTTGCTTGATCGAATAAACATGGACACCATCAAATAAAAGGGCACTCGCTCGTGTTCAAAGCAATCCCGAGCAGATATCAATTAATGCTAATCGATAAGGATGAGTTTGGGAACGCAGCCGAGTTGAATTATGATGTTGAAAGATTTTGATTTTTTTTATTTTAAATTGTTTTTTTATTTTTAAATAGTTTTAATATTATGGTATTAAAAATAAATTTTAAAAAATAAAAAAATTATTGATAAACTCAACTTCTGTTGACTTTCTTATTCAAGTCAACATCATTAATTAATATCAATACTATGTACCAGTAGGTGGTCAATTTTCTAGTGGACCTTTATTATTAGACAATAATGCTATTATTTCGGGCTGTTGTCAATTTATAGTTACTATTTTTCCTCGTCACCAAGCCCCCTTTTTATTTGTTAGAATCTAAATTTAGGAGTGATGCTTCTCGCCTTTCAACAATTTATAACATCACCGCTGCAAAAAAAGAAAAACAAGAAGTCATCGTTTCAGCTAGGGTAAAAAAAAAAAAACTATGGTTATATTATTAACAAAAAAAATCTTTATATTATATTTATAATAGAAATTAGATTTATGGTACTATATATATAATATATATATATATATATAATAATATTAATTTCTTGTATTGCTAAAAAGTATTTGTATTTTAAAAAGAGTGCATTAATAATTTTTTTTATTAATGAATATTGTGAAGAGCGATAACACAACACCAACCCTTACTCTTATCGATAGCGTCATCATGACCTCAAAAAAACAAAAAAAAAAACACAAAAAAGATCGCAAAGCATCAGCTTTCATTGAAGTCTGTAACATCAAAGAAAATCGATGTCTACCCGTTTTTTCCCGCTGGATTATCTCTCTACGATGCATAGATAGACTAACTTGACAGGACCCCCATTCACTCCATCAGCACTGCCGACTACTGAGAGCGAGAGGGAGCGGAAAGGTTATCAGTATAATTACTTATAAGCCGAACTCCAATAATGATGGTAGGGCGGGCGGGCGGGAATCAATAATGTTGGGATTGTACGTGCAACTATATACGTCAAAGCATTAATGCAACTTCTCTTTACTCGCTACATATCACTATTGCGTCTTTCTTTCTTTCCTAACTTTCAATGGAGGATCATTTATTGCCATTTGTTTTAATCTCTTCCATTGGGGCTTCATCGTGGGTTGGTTGGCCCTCCTTCTTTGTTCTTGCCTCTTGGTTTCATTTTATTACTGGCTAGCCAGGCAGCTGCTAACTGTCCCATAATCACGAACCCTTTTCACTTCGATGCAGGACCATTGAAGTTGCATGTGAAACGTTATTCACCCACTTAAGCTCCGGTACTGCAGCTAGGTATCTAAGCTAAGCTCTTCTTATATAAGACTGCCTCGGTGTGTTTCAGCTGCTAGTTTAGTTACGTTATTCTCAGGGAGTCATTTTCTGGACTAGCCTTAGAGGTGATGGTGTTAAATTTCCATAGATACGTAGTTCATTATCTTCTATTTGTTCTGCATCAGAATGTTAGAGAGTAGAAGCTTAATTGCTTTTATATGTATATGAGGACTTACTAGTATGCGTGATGATAGTAGAAAGTAGACACAAATTGATGCGTATTATTGTTGGCTTAATTAATCTTACAGGGAATTAGCCAGAGACATGGGTTCCCGTGAAATAAAGTCACCAGAAGGTCTACCAGAGACACCAGCAGCATATGATGGAGTTTCAAACCCAGTTCATAGCAAGAAGCTTGGAATTTACTTCCTCGAGTCCGACAATAGGAGGATGGCTTTTGGCCGTGGATATACTGGAGGAACTACTCCTGTTAACATCCATGGGAAGCCTATTCCTGACCTCTCAAAGACAGGTGGCTGGATTGCTGCCTTATTCATTTTTGGTAAGCAACTTCTTCACATGAGTTTACATTCCATTTCTCAGAAAACTGTCACATGAAGGTTAATAATTAAGTCGTGTTTTCTGGTGTAATAACTGGGAGATTAAATTAAGGTTACACTACAATTATGATAGACAGGTGAATTGGACTAGATCAGAAAAACAAAAATACTGGTAGTGTTTCTGTAGTCATAGAATATGATATATGCTATATATTCTTTCGCGGAATTAATTTACAACTTGTGTTCAAGAAGTGCAAGATCATGTGTATGTTAAGTGTTCAGTCAAATCATATTTCGGTCCCTCACTGAGCTTGGATCTTTTTTTTTTCGTCCAGGAAATGAAATGGCAGAGAGGATGGCTTACTTTGGCCTCTCTGTTAACATGGTGGCCTTCATGTTCTATATTATGCACCGACCCTTTACCAGTTCATCCAATGCAGTGAACAATTTCTTAGGAATTTCTCAAGCTTCCTCTGTCCTTGGCGGATTTCTTGCAGATGCGTATCTCGGCCGATATTGGACAATTGCAATTTTCACAACAATCTATCTTGCGGTAAGATGTGTTCATGAACAAATAGGCGTCAATCAGTTCCTCAAGTTAAATCCTTAGAGGTTTACTGATGATGCGTTTTCCTTTCAATCTTTGTTTCCTGGAGGGCTTGACAGGTATAACCTTGTGTGCAACAATGAATATTTTCATGCCGGACCAGGGTCAATGCGATCAGCTATCCTTGCTTTTGGGTAACTGCGAGCCAGCGAAATCATGGCAGATGCTCTATCTTAACACAGTTCTTTATGTGACTGGATTTGGAGCTGCAGGTATAAGGCCGTGTGTTTCTTCATTCGGAGCCGATCAGTTCGATGAAAGAGGTGAAAATTACAAGTCTCATCTGGATAGGTTTTTCAACTTCTTTTATCTTTCTGTGACTATTGGAGCAATAGTGGCCTTCACTTTAGTAGTCTACATTCAAATGAAACATGGATGGGGATCTGCCTTTGGTTCGCTGGCCATAGCTATGGGCCTGTCAAACATGTTATTCTTTGTCGGTACTCCTTTGTATAGGCATAGATTGCCAGGAGGCAGTCCACTAACAAGAGTTGCCCAAGTTCTGGTCGCGGCCTTTCGGAAGAGAAAAGCCTCGTTTTCCAGCAGCGACTTAATAGGCCTTTATGAGGTTCCTGGCAAACGTTCTGCTATAAAGGGTAGTGGAAAGATAGCACATACAGATGACTTCAGGTATAATTGCTAATCTCTAACATTTTTAATATTTCATGGATTAATACAGTTTTAGGCTGTATGAGTTTTGGTTCTCAACCTCTGGCTGTTTGTTCAACGGTTTTGGAGGATTTCTATTACAAGTTACAAAGAAATCTGTTTTGGTCATCCTTTAAAAAACAAAAAAAAAAAAAAAAAAAAAAAGAAAAAAAAAGGAAATTATATCTTTCACCATATAATTTCCAAAACTTGTGGGCTTCAACAGATGTCTGGACAAGGCAGCATTGCAATTGAAGGAAGATGGTGTAGATTCAAGTCCTTGGAGGCTTTGTACGGTGACTCAAGTAGAGGAAGTCAAGATACTTATAAAGCTTGTTCCAATACCAGCTTGCACAATAATGCTCAATCTAATCTTAACAGAGTATCTGACTCTATCAGTCCAGCAGGCATATACTTTGAATACACATTTGGGTCATCTCAAACTTCCAGTAACAAGCATGCCCGTGTTTCCTTGCCTCAGTATATTCCTGATATTGTCTCTCTATTACTCGGTATTTGTTCCAATATTCCGGCGCATTACGGGCCATCCTCGTGGTGCTTCTCAGCTTCAAAGAATAGGAATCGGTCTGGCATTTTCAATTCTTTCTGTTGCCTGGGCAGCCATTTTTGAGAGGTATCGGAGAAAGTATGCTGTAGAACATGGCTATGAGTTTAGTTTCTTGACTCCCATGCCTAACCTGAGTGCGTACTGGTTGTTGATCCAGTATTGCCTGATTGGAATAGCTGAAGTCTTTTGCATTGTGGGCTTGCTTGAATTTCTGTACGAGGAAGCTCCTGATGCAATGAAGAGTATAGGATCTGCTTATGCTGCACTAGCAGGTGGAATTGGCTGCTTTGCAGCAAGTATATTAAACAGCATTGTGAAATCAGTGACAGGAAACCCAGACAAGAGGCAGCAATCATGGTTGTCCCAGAATATAAATACTGGTAGATTTGAATATTTCTACTGGCTGCTTACAGTTCTGAGTGCGATAAATTTCTGTGCCTTTCTATATTCAGCCCGTAGGTACGAGTACAGGGCAGAGCAGAAATTTGGGATTCAGGAAGTTGTAACCAACAAACAAAACACCCCAGCCAGGGGCTAGCAAGCCGTATATGAATTCGAAATCTAAGATGGACAAGTACCGCATTCACAATTAAATTTCTCTCTTCTAATGCAAGATTTCCCCTTCATGAAGTTTCCCTTCTAAAACATAACTTAGAACAAGATAAAACATGAATCACAGCTGCATTTTCCTGCATTTAATCGAATTGCTGGCAACATTTGAATTCTGTGCCCTTGTCATTATCTCAACCTGGTCAGGGTGCATTGAAGATCCTGATATTGCATGTGCGCTGTGTGAATGATCATGGTTTTGGATCCTGTGCCAATGAGTGCCAGGGTCCAATATGTTTGATTGGAAGCTTGAGCCAGCCCCTCTTTATGGTTAGTTGCCCGGATGGAACTGTCCAGTGCCCCTATGCATGTCTGTATCTTCTGAGCTTCTTGTCTGTTGTTCACCCATTTATATCAGCTGCCTCTAGAGGACAGAGCCATGGAGTCACTCACATGGGGCTAGCTAAATATTAAATGCCATCAAACTAATTGAATCTCGGAGCCCTTCTGATAAAATTAATCTGCATAACCATAACATGGGCCATGGCATGGCCTCAGGATTCGATAAACCACTCAGAGTTGTCCAGAATCCTCCGTTGACTTTAGGTGAACAAAGTTGGTGTTTTCTTCTAAACTAATTGAATTAAAGAAGCTTAAAAAAGGGACCATTAGTTAGGCACAGACAAAATTTTCAGTACCTCTGGCATGAAAATGTTGATTTATCGATCACACTATTGCATTATTATAAAATTTATAAATTAAAGAAAATGTTGATTTCTAGTAGCGTTTAGGATTCTTTAATTCAAAAACGATAAAATCTTAAAGTATAATTCGAATCTATTTTTTCTTTAAATGAGATATATAATCTTAAAATACATCCAAAATACATCATAACCGTATCTCTCAAATATCCTAACCATATCCCTCACCATCTTATTATATTCCTAAGTATTCAAAAGATATTATTTCTTCATATATAAGAAATTATTGCTACCAATACGTTACTGTATAAGCCCAACACGGACACAGTAGCTTTTATGAAGTTTGCATGCTGCTTAGGATCCACGTAAATCCATCTCATTCTTAATGCGTGTTTATTGTGATACATTCTTATTTTTTAAAAATACTTTTCATATACAAATTTATTAAACTAATTTTTTTATTTTTAACATATTAATACATCAAAAATATTAAAAAATATCGATTTAATATTTTTTTCATATTAAATATATTTTTGAAGCTAAATACAAATGCAATGCATTTTTCAAAAATATTTTTCAATTAAAAATATATTAAAAAAATATTTTTTTCAGATTTTTATTTCATTTTTAGCATTAACTAATCAAAACCATAAACATACAATTAAAAAAAAAAGAATTAAATAAATTTTCAGATGAAAAAATTTTCAACGGCACGTTGAAAACATAACCAAATGCAACGTTGGATCACGTTGGATCACTGGCATGAGTAGTTTTTAAGTGGTCCAATCTTGCTAGTGAAATCAAATATCTAAAACAAAAAAATCACTTTCATGGGAATTGAAGTGGTCCAAATATCCTGTTCGAGTAGGCACTTACCATAGCAGAACCTCAAATATTTCACAAGTAGCTTCTTAATCTACTAATAAATCAGCCAACACATGCAGATGAACAACAATATAATTACACAAAATGGCAAACTAGAAAGTGCAGGCGAGGTTCGACGATTCTTTTACGCTGGAACTGATTACGTTATTCTAGATGCCACACAACGTTGTCTTATTATATGGGTTCAACCAAAGGTGTATCATAGTCAAGCATCATCCTATAGCTTGAAGCATGAGGTAATAATATCAGCAGTACTTAGGCTGTGCCTTGTATGAATCGGCATAATGTTTATGAATTAGTTTATACAAGCTATACACTGATCAGTAGAATATACACGAAAAGCAACGAGCATTTGACCATCAAGTACAGTAGGAAATTACAAGGTAGTGTAAGCAGAGAAAATGAAAATTTGTTTTATGCAAAAACCTTTTTTTTTTCTTTTGAGAAATCTATGCAAGCCTCTTTTAAATAAAGCTCAGGGAGCTTTTATTTACACTCCAGCGAGCTCTTCCTCCATTGACGGTGAATCAGACGCACACCAACTTAAGGGCTTTCACAAAACTCCATTTCCTAGCATCCCAAATGGAAGTGGTTCATCAAAAACACCTCAAGAAATCTGGTTCTATTATTAGGATTTCCATGTAAATGGAGGACTAATTCTAACACTATTTAGTGAGCAATAACTCACAAAAAGGAAGTGAACATAGCAATCTATAGTGACTATCCAATATTTAAGATCAGTTCAAAATAAGTAATATGTAGGTGCAGAAAGCAGAGTAAATGTAAAGTTTTGATGGCTGTGATTTTATCAATATGTGATGAGAGAGAGTGTGCATGTCTAGAAGTTGACACTTCAACGAATTGTCTTTCACTTCCTCATATGCCATCTCCACACTGACGGAATGATTAAAGGCTTGAAATTATATTTCTAGGCTATCTGAAAAACTGGCCATAGTTTGAGCAGCTACTGATACTAATTTGGTCCTTACAGACAAAATTAAGCCTGCTTGCAACCTTTCCCGAGATCAGTGCCTTCGCAGGAAGGTTCAGGACTCAGAATTATTATTATTATTATTATTTTTCAGTAAGAAATTGATGATGTAATCTAAGGAGAAATTCAGCATACCTTGCCACATATTGGACAACTTTCACTTCTTTCCAACCATTCATAAATGCAGCCAAGGTGAAAATGGTGAGAGCATCGAGTTGTGATTTTAGGATTTTCTGGGGTGTACCCTGCAGCATGATCATTCAAAAACACCTTACCAGAGGGAATAAGAAAAAAGCATAACTTAAAAGCCACAATCTGATGCAGCACAATCTAAACACATTAAATTACCATCAAGACAGGTAGGGCAAGCATCTTCATCTTCAGAAGATGGTTGCACATAAGTTAGCCCGTGTGCAACTTTTGTTGCTAAATATTTGTCTGACAACTCTGAATAGCCAAGTTTATTGTCATCTTCAGAATCAATTCCGTTTCTTCTTCTTCCAAAGCCCAATGATTCCACAGCAGAACTGCTCATATTTCTTCTCAGTGGTTGTGATTCTTCTTGCAAATGAGTCATCGACTTCCTAGAGACTAAACCATAACGCTGCAAATGAGCATACCTCTGATCAGTATCATAAGGGAGTGGCCTGGATGACGAGAGTTGAGTGTCATTTGCAGAACCATCTGGTAATCCTGTGCCAACTCCAGTTGATGCCAAAGAAGTACCTTCTTGGGTTGGCGAGACAGTCCTACCTTCAAGCCTGTGAAACACCGTACCATACTGCAAGTGCATGGCAGAAGGTAATAAGTGCATCATCTAACTGGAATGAACTAAACAAAAAATATGAGGATGTGTGACTACAGCACCAAAGAACATGCTTTGGAAAGGGAAATATATTATGAAACTCACATTAGAAATTAGGATCTTTCCATGATCAAGAATATAAGTGATAGTGTAATTTAGTTAATCGGGTATTTTCGAGCCAGTTTTAAGAAACTAAACCTCAAATCACAAAGCATATGCATGAGAGATAATGCATGGGAGATAAGTTTCATTAGAAAGCATAAACATGAGAACAACTTTAATCACAAATCGGTTGAAATATTTTGATGGAGCGCACCATGGCATTGGAATTGCACCCAAGGGAAAGGTACTGTTTAATCATTTATTACTCTGTGGCACCTAAAGGGTTTATTATGACTATTTGCATATGCTCCAAATCCGCTGGGTGAAATGTTTATTTCATGCTTCTGTAAAATCTGAGCTCAATGCAATCACAAGATTATATACGTTCATTGAAATACAAATTGGCAAACCCCTAAAAGACCTAACCCCCTAGATTTAGCCCAAATGCCTTGGCTGCATGATCTTATGCAAACAATCTCCACAACAAAGAGCCTAGAGTTTAGCAAACATCTGTGAAATGAAAAAATCAACAGTAAAGTGTGTTGAGTTGTCTGTATTTCAATGCTTACCCCACTGCGTAACTGGTGGAAAAAGAATCTTAGGCAAACGCAGTGCCTGTATATTGAATTGCCCGAGTAAGCATGTTCTTCATGTTCATCACTGCATGGACAGCAGCAAAAAGCACCCATCTTTGTGCTTAAAAAATAAAACCCAAAAAATTGGCTGTTGACAACTAGGAAGCAACAAGCTAGGAATCAAGGATGCTATATCTCCAGCGAACCTGTACAAAACAAACAAACTTGAAGCACTCCATAAGAACAGTTATCAGCATAATTGGAATGATGAGAAGAAAAAGCGGTGAATGACATAAATCATCAGCCAAAGAGAAAGAATCTAAAGTTCTTAGTAGAGAAACCCTCTAGGGCATTAGGTCCTTCTCAGAAGACCTTTTGGAGTTTTCAAGGCTGAAGATACTTTATCTACAAACTTTGAAAGGAATAGATACATAAAATGCCACCACGCTTCTACAAACCAGAATGGCAAACAACACTAGTCAGCAGTGAAGTCATTTCTCAAGAATCTCAAGGGCAGTCGGTTCACATAGTTATGCATTTGGAAATGGCAAACATGTGCAGATGGAGATATGCCTGATATCACCATTTCCGGAAAGTGATGAAGGGCATGAAATTCCTCTAAAACCAGGAGCAGGGTCATGGTCATCTAAACTTAAAAAAAAAAACGAATGCTCTCTTTGTCAATCATTGAAGCTTTGAAAGGGGGGATTTGATGAAACTCTTGTTTCGTGAGTTGCTATGGACTATAATTCCTTCACAATGGAATAATAAATCAATATATTAGCCACGATAGATTTTTATTTTTTCAAAAAAATAAATAGCAATGTACCAGCGGTATAATACAATTTTTTTTTTTAAAAAAAAGAAACACTTAATCTCACTGTAAAACAACAGCCAGTCTAAACTTAACAAGCAACAGAAAGACACTAATTCCTTTATAATCACTCACCCTACAAATTATAGAAGAAGAAGAATAAATTAAGAATCTGGCAGTATATGAATATTGATGATCGCAGGTTGTGTTGTGAGAACTGAAAGTGTCCTAGGGTTTGGTTAACCCGTGAATGGAAAATAAAAAAAAAAAAAAAAGGAAAGAAAAGGAATGGAGAGAGCGGAAGTTTCCTTCTACTTACCTTCAGTACAATTGAAGAGAAAGATCTGCAGCAGCAACCTCAAAAGGAAAGGAAAATCTATAAAGTACGCCACAGGGCCAACGACCTCTGCAGTCCACAAGGAGAAAAAGGAGAGGAAAATATGTCTTGTTTCTTTCTTACGATGATTTTGTGTTTTGGGAGCTAATGGCAGGGACAGGCAGGGGAGATTTTTTTTATTTTTTTTCTATTATTTTAATTTATTTAATAATTAACAAGATATCATTATTTACTTTTAAAAATTGCAGTGAATCAAATTAAAGGGAAAACAAACGGATAGATACTTTTAAAACAGGATTAACAGAGGCTAAATGTCGATGAGATTAGATTAGTTGGATGAGCAACTCAATATTTGTTTTCAATAGATAAAAAAAACTCTCCCTCCATTATATCGTGGAATTAGGTGCGTTTCAAGGGTCTGGAATGAGAAAGACTGCTCAGCTTGATAATAGTTGAACAAGTTGAGGAACCCTTAGCCCAGTGTGACACAGCCGTACAGAGCTTGTTGGAGAAGAAGAAATGCCACTTCACAGATGTCTTCAAAGCATTCATGACCACCCGGAAGACAAGGATAGTTAATAGTCAAAAGAAGGTAGCTGGATCGATTGTTTTCTATACTCGTTTCGGTGCTGTCGGTTTTGGAGGCTGTTTCAGTATATGATTATTTAAAAAAAAAAACTATTTAAAAATATATTAAAATAATTTTTTAAAAAAAATATTTTGAATATGAATATATTAAATATTAAAAATAATATTAATTTAAAATTAAAAAAAAAAAAAAAATTTTAAAGCACCAAATCAGAAACAAAATAAATAAAGAAGATGTACTGGAGCCCAATGCTCGAGCAAAAACCCATTGGCAATGGTTGGAAGATACATTCTTTGTTAGGCTCTGTTTGTTTATATAAATTTTTTTTAAAAAAAAATTTTCAATTTTAAGAAAAGTGAATTTTTTAAAAGTGAATTTAAAAAAAAAATTCTAAAAAGTAAATTATTTTTTGATATTTGGTAGTGTTATGAAAAATGAACTGGAAAACACTTTCTAGTATTTGATTATATTATGGAAAATAATTTATTAATGTTTTATTTTTCTCAAATTTATTAAAATAATAAGGAACAAATCTTACAAATTAAAAAGTTAAATAATAATAAAATTAGAAAAAAAATTTCATAAATTATCTCAAATAAAATAAATAATAATCAAAATAATAAAGATCAAATCTAAAAAAAAAGATAAAGAAATTAAAATAATAATAATTAACATTTCATAAAGTATTTCAAATAAAATATATATAGCAATCAAAAGTTTGAGAATCAAATTTGATATAATCAATAAATAATGACATTTCTAAATTTTTCACAACTTCTGGAAAGTGTTTTTCGTCCAAATTTTTCAGGAAAACACTTTCCTGAAAACCAAGCTAATTTTCCTTTGACTGGAAAGTGTTTTTCATTTACTAATTTTTTTAAGAGCAAACAAACACAAAAAAGTTTGAAAATTGATTTTTCAAAAATCACTTTTTGAAAAACAAACACAAGAAAATTTAGAAAGTATTTTCCTGAAAACCACTTTCCGAAAAACAAACATAGCTTAATTGAAGAACTTTCTCATTTCAGAAATTCAAGCACATGATGTTTTAAAAATAATTTTATTTTATCTTATAATATATTTTCTCAAATAAAATATTTTTAAATTTAAAATTTATACAAAGATTCATATGTAACCATATAATTAATAAAATTTTGATAATTTATTAAAACATCATTTCATCTAAAAATTTAAATTATTAATAAAATTTTAATAATAATTTTATATTAATATCTGATAATTATACTAAAAATAGTTTTCTTTAGACTTGTGTGCATGGTTTAAAAGCATAAAACTCATTATGTGTATCTGGTTTTTTTTTTTAAAAAATATTCTTTTATTTTTTTAAATAAGATATATGATATTTTATTTATTTAAGCAAATAACATGTAATTCATATTTATATTTTTTTTATTATTTTTTTATGACCATCACATCAAAGTCTGGGTTTTTAGACCCTGAACATCAAATTATTAACTTGTTTTCATTTAAAATCATTTAAGAAAAATCATAAAAATCTCAATATACTCTTTTTAGCTATAAAAACACTCTAATAACAAAAAAAATAAAAAAGAATTTAAATAAAAAACTTCATGCCCCCGGTCTAACTGTTCTAGCAAGCTAAAAGAAAAAATCACCTTAACTAAACTTTTCTTTTTAAAACAAACCAATTGACACCCAGAATTGTCTTTTACGATGGCAATGTTAGATCCCAATTAACTTGATCTTGGCTTTTGAGTGTGCTGCTATGTTTTTTTTTTCTAATCTTTTCCCTTGTTGATCGGTCCTATATACATAAATCATGGGATTTTATGTTGGTGTTTTGCTTCTATTAAAAAAAAAATATAGATTTTTTTATATAAAATTTCATGGATCATTAAATTTAATATAATAAAAATAAACTTCACAATAAATTTATGGGAAGATAAATTTAAAACTGAAGTGTAGCTAGTAATATAAATTTAAATCCAAATCAATTTATTAACTTAGATACAGTTATTTACGTTCTATATATATAAAAGTCTGATGTCACTAACAGAAAAAAAAAATAAGCTAACAAAAAAAAAAGTAGATTAATTTAAAAATAATGCTTCTGATGTACGAATCGTGAAAATTTAAAGCTAGCAGAAAAAATAATAGATTAGACTTGATTTTTTTTTAATGATATCACGATAGCATGTTTGAAATCTATTTTTATTTAATATTATAATAATTAGAAATAAATATTTATTATAATTTTAATAATTTATATTTTCAACTAAAAATGTATTTTCAGTTGAAAAATCATCTCTGGAAGAAAACAAGTCTTTTATAATGCAAAGTTTGTTAAATAAAGAATTATCATAGCTTCAAAAAAGTATCATGTCTCAATTACTTCTACATGATTATATGAAAAAAATGATTAAATTAAGAAAATTATATAAAAAATTGATATATAAATCTTTTTAATTGTTTTTTTAAATTCAGCATGTAAGATTCATATATAATCAATCATGAAATAATTAATAATATTACGATAACTATAATTTAAAGCCACAACATTTACGGATTATCTCAACACATAAAACAATGTCAATACAACTTGGATCTATAGGGTAGATATCCCTATAGACTATAAAATATAATTGTTTGATGTTAACAGAAAACTATAGACTACAATTTTAATGAAAAAATAAATAACCATTTTTATTTTAGTTACTTGTATATTGCAACATAATTGTTATTGTAACTTGTAACTATATCGATATTGGATACTTAAACCACTACCTAAGCCTAAAATTTATTTGTTGGGTATGTTTTCATTCTAAATTTCTAACATTGGAAGCTCCGATGCTCAGGTAGTAAGTTAGAGGTTGATTTAAGTGAATCTAATTATTTAAAAAATTAAATTAAATAATATTATTTTTTTAAGTAACTTGGCCCCGCCCATGTTAGCAGGTCACTAAGTTATCCTTTCAATCCTTCAAGTACAATTAATTATTTTAAAAAATTATTATTTGATTTTTAAAAACCAATCTTTTCTAGTAACTTCGCCTCACCCATGCTAGCAGGTCACCATGTTATCCCTTCAAGGAGGCCGAGGCTTGTAACAATACTTAACCGAGTGGTAAATCCAAATACAAGAACTCAAAGCCCTCTATTAAAGAAAGGACCAACCTTTTTGCTTCTACAGGTATCAGGTATTCATCTCCAGCTAGTCAAGAAAATATTAGATTATCAAAATAAATAAATAAATAAATAATCATTTATCCAAAACATAAACTTTACCCCAAACTACATGAATTGTTTTTGTGTACATCATCACCGATAAAGCATGAACCCATGTCTTGCACTTTCATAGCAATTACGCTTTGGCCTAAAGCAAAACTCAAATGCAGAAGAATAGACAAGAGTTCAAAATGTTATTGAAAGCCCCCCCCCCCCCCCCCCCATCAACTGATGTGATTGCATAAAGAACTGATTGATTATTAGTAAGATGAACATCATCACACTATCTTAACAGAAAAACACATAAATCATTTATACTCAAAGTGCCAAGGAACCTCTCAGAACTCCACCCAGCAAATTCTCTCGTGAAGTAGCAGAGATAGGATATCCAGCTTCTGGGATATTGCCGAAGCAGTACACAGGAGCTTGCCATTTTGCATCCTCAAGTGCAGCTCCCACTTCAAAAGTCATGACATGAGCCTCCCTCCCTGTGAACATCTTTATCATAAGAAAACCAACGCAATTTGCAACCCCACTTTGAAATTCCTTTAACATGTCAAATTAACTTCAGTAAAAATAACTATCTAAACTGATATAGAATATAGTAATGATCCATGAATATAAACAACTAGACTGGTACTGTGACAGGAGTAGGAAAGGGAATGGGGAGACCAAATTGGGAAACAAACATATATACCAGTGTAAAAGACCCAGTGAACAGGCCTTTTGGTGATAACATCTTCATAGTACCAGATGAATTCCACTTTCTCCCAAACGTTACAAAGAAAACCATCCACGTGTCGTTGACCCAGATAATTAGCTCCATCAAGCCAATTAGGGCGAAGAATTCCAACCTCCAAATGCGCGGTGGAACACTCCTTGTTGGAATCTAAAGTGTAAAAGAAGGAAGTACCATTGTTCCATTCAAGGTCATACATAAGCTTGCCTAGTTGGTGTTGTATGATGTTGAAGTTTCTGCCATTAGTCCAATCGTACCAGAGATCTATCTTTTGAAGTATTCCACTGTAATTCATGAATAGAATTGCGTGGAATTGGTGAGGCCATGGTGCTGGAGTTGGGTCTCCTTCTCTGGATGATTTGATTAATGGTGAAAAGAAGGAGAGAAGGAGAATTGAGATAGAGAAAGAGATGGGTCTGGTTAGGGAGGCCATCTTTGCTCGTTGGAGATGGCAACGCGTGGTGGTTAGGGGCTTTTGTTTCCGTTTTGGTCTTTTTCTTTTTTTATGGGCTAAATTGTAAGAATACCCCCAAACTTAAGAACAAAATCAAATAACCCCCTGAACTATATGGTTCTCTTAATTTACCCTTTCTATTGAGGTTTTTTTTGAAAAAGCTCATAAAAATCCTCTCCATTCCTCTCCTTTTCTCTACTGGCAAACATATTTTCCTAAGTTGGTAGATAAAGAGAGAGGAATCGAGAGGATTGTTATGGGCTTTTTGTCAATTTCTCAACAAAATCATAATTAAAGGGGTATATTTAAAAAAGCATATTATTTAGGATGTCAAATCATAAATATTTTAATATAGGGGTATTTACTTTCCACTCAAGTTCAGGTCTCCCCCCTCTAATTTGGGCTTTTTAATGCAATCGTAATATGGATTAAAAATGTTTGGCTTGGAGGTGGTTTGGAGATATGATGATTTTTTTTTTTTAATATAATATTTTTTAAATATAAATTATATTTTTTAAATATACAATCGTAATATGGATTAAAAATGTTTGGTTTGGAGATATGATGGTTTTTTTTTTTAATATAATATTTTTTAAATATAAATTATATTTTTTAAATATAAA